ACTTCATGTCATCACTGACCCGTCGTTACGAGCGTGGTGATTGGTTGGTCCCCTCAGTCTGCTGGTTTCTGTGCATTCAGATTTAACTCGATCTGTACATGCTCAGATGTTTCAGAGTGAGTTTCTCAGCTTTGTGTTAAAGCTACAGTAACAGGATGTGAAGTGAGTCACAACACATTAGCCAACCCTGTACTTTTGCTACAGATTGAGGAAATGGTGTATACATATTTCCTCTTTCTCAGTTTTGTACAGCTCTCCACATGATTCTACTGCTTACATTAAAGTGAGTGAGACTTAAACTTGTTTTGGGGTGAGTGTTAAACACACTGTTACTTACAGATCACTGTTAACTGTTTGAATCTATCAGACCTGTTGTGGTCGGACCATTAAAAGAATATTTAGTAGTATTTTAGAATCTTTAGTAACATGATCAGTGTTACTGCTGTTGGTGTGCCGAGGAAAAATCATTCTGTTGCATTTTATTTAAATGTTATTTAAATGTACTAGCGTCATACTCTAACATACTTTACTGAATACTTGCATTTACCTTAATTACCATATGTGTTAATACTTCATAATAATCTCTGTGATTTATGGTGTCATTTTTCTGAATCTGTCATGTAAGTATTGGTTGCCTACACAGTAATTTAAAGGAAAAAGACGCCAGTAATACTGTAAGTATTTTCATGTAAACAATACAGTTTTTGAGTAGTTTAGAGAAAGGGGGCAAAACAATTCCACTTCCCATATGTGCAATTCCACATTGCTATCAGTGCAGCTGACTGTATTATAGAGTAGCCCATTGATCAGAGATCACTTATCAATAACCATGAGTCCCATTCACAGAGAGTCTGCAATCACAGCATTGTAACATGGTGACAGATGTACCCTTAGGTCCCCTCCTCCATTCAGAGATGGAGGACAGATGTAACATTGTATGGGACCATTGTTTCATCTGCCTCCCTAATGACATCTCTCACCCTCTGTACGAAATCCAAGGTGTTCTGGATGTGGTGTTCAGAGCTGCCTTCCAAGACTGAAGATTTAAGGTCTTTGTTGTCAATACAACAATATACACAGTATACAGCGTACCGAAATGCCATTCTTATAAATGCATGGTGCATTTATAAAAAAAATCGAGATAGATTATTTATATTCTTCTTTTAATGTATTCTAAGAATATAAATAATCTATGTGCAAGAGATATGAAACTAGAAATGACAAATAAATAATAACTCGCTAAATTTGGGTTAAGTTAAGAGATAAAAAGGTACTATTAGCAACTATATCTGTGTACAATAAACCAAGACAGGAATGAGACAATACGAAGTGGATTGTACCATTAAAGTAAAGTGAGATGTTGTGCAGTGGTATTAAATATCAGGTTCAAGTTCAATCAACCTATCTATCTATCTATATACATATGTATATATAAATACATACATGTATATATATATATATATATATATATATATACAT